CACTTTATTTTCTCAGCTTACAACCTTAAGCTGTAAAATAGGAGAACAAGAACGTGTTGAACTTCTACTTCAAACTCTACCGGATTCGTATGATCAACTCATCATCAACTTGACAAACAGTAATGTCACCAGTCTAGTCTTCAATGACGTTGCAGCTGCTCTTCTACAAGAAGAAAATCGGCGCAAGAACAAGGAAGACAGACGAGTAAATCTGCAACAAGCAGAAGCATTGACAACGATGAGAGGGAGATCAACAGAACGTGGCCAAAGCAGCAGTCACAAACATGGTAGATCGAAGTCGAGGAGCAAGAAGAATTTAAAGTGTTACAACTGTGGAAAGAAGGGTCACTTGAAGAATGATTTTTGGAGTCTAAATAAAAACTCCAATCCACAAGGCAATACTGCAAACACTTCAGATGATGGAGATGCTCTATGCTGTGAAACGTCAACCACCGTGGAAGGCAGAAAGAGATATGCAAATATATGGCTCATTGATTCGGGAGCAACATATCATATGACCTCAAGAAGAAAATGGTTTCATCATTATGAACCTGTCTCAGGAGGATCTGTGTATAGTTGCAATGATCATGCCTTAGAGATCGTTGGCATTGGAACTATCAAATTGAAGATGTACGATGGAACAATTAAAGTTGTTCGAGATGTGCGACACGTGAAAGGCCTGAAGAAAAATTTATTATCATACGGATTGTTGGATAATAATGCAAGCAAGATTGAAACACGTAAAGGAATCATGAAGGTGTTCCGTGGAGCGCTTGTGGTGCTGAAAGGCGAAAATATAGCATCAAACTTGTACATGCTGAAGGGAGAGACTTTGCTAGAAGCAGAAGCCTCTGTTGCCTCATGTAGTTCAGATTCTTCAATGCTATGGCATCAGAAACTTGGACATATGTCAGAACAAGGAATGAAAGTCCTTGTGGAGCAAAAGCTACTTCCAGGCTTAACAAAAGTATCACTTCCTTTGTGTGAGCATTGCATAACAAGTAAGCAGCACCGGTTGAAATTCAACACATCAAATTCTAGAGGCAAAAGTGTTCTAGAATTGGTTCACTCTGATGTATGGCAAGCATCGGTTACATCCCTTGGCGGAGCAAAATACTTTGTCTCATTTATTGATGACTACTCTAGGAGATGCTGGGTGTACCCTATTAAGAAGAAGTCAGATGTGTTTTCAACTTTCAAAAACTTCAAAGCACGGGTGGAACTTGATTCTGGAAATAAGATCAAGTGTTTCAGAACAGATAATGGAGGAGAATACACAAGCGAAGAATTTGATGACTTTTGCGGGAAAGAATGCATCAAAAGATCGTTCACAGTGGCGAACACTCCTCAAAAAAATGGAGTGGTAGAGCGGATGAACAGAACCTTGTTAGAAAGAACAAGAGCAATGTTGAGTGATGCAGGCCTAGTAAAATCATTATGGGCAGAAGCAGTCAATACCGCCTGTTATTTGGTGAATCGAGCTCCATCAACTGCATTAGAGCTGAAGACACCAATGGAGATGTGGACTGGTAAACCAGCTGATTATTCAAACCTCCATGTATTTGGAAGTATTGTGTACGTGATGTACAACTCCCAAGAAATTTCAAAGCTAGATCCAAAATCCAAGAAATGTAAATTCTTGGGTATGCTGATGGAGTAAAGGGGTATCGCTTGTGGGATCTCACTGCGTGCAAAGTGATCATCAGCAGGGATGTTATCTTTGTAGAAGATAAGCTACAAAGAAAAGAAGACGATAATAGCGCTGAAAAATCAGAGACTACACAGATACATGTGGAAAAGGAGTTTGAATAAGGAGATTCTTCTGAAGCAGAACCAGCACATGATGAACAAGAACCAGAGAGTTCTGAAGCTCCAACAACTCGTCAATCAGATCGTGTTAGAAGACGTCCCAATTGTCACTCAGATTATGTTATAGAAGGTAATATTGCATACTGCCTTTTAACAGAGGACGGTGAGTGGATGATGGCGATGCAAGAAAAAATTGAAGACCTTCATAAAAATAATACATGGGACCTTGTGCCACTACCACAAGGAAGGAAGCCAATTGGTAACAAATGGGTTTTCAAAATCAAGCAAAATGGTGACGATCAAGTGGAGAGGTATCGTGCAAGACTGGTGGTCAAAGGATATGCTCAAAAAGAAGGTATTGATTTTAATGAAATCTTTTCTCATGTGGTTCGACTAACAACAGTTCGAGTAGTCTTGGCAATGTGTGCTACAATGAACTTACATCTAGAGTAGCTAGATGTTAAAACAACTTTTCTTCATGGAAATCTTGAAGAAGAGATTTACATGCTCCAGCCTGAAGGTTTTGAAGAAAAAGAAAAGAAGAAATTGGTTTGCAGGTTGAACAAATCTCTGTACGGTCTAAAGCAGGCGCCGAGGTGTTGGTATAAGAGATTTGATTCCTTCATTATGTGCATTGGATACAACAGACTTAATGCAGACAATTGTGCTTATTTCAAGAGGTCTGGTGATAACAATTTTGTTATATTACTATTGTATGTGGATGACATGTTGATTGCAGGACCCAACAAAGATCATATTGAAGAATTGAAGGCACAACTGGCTAGGGAATTTGAAATGAATGACTTGGGATCATCAAACAAGATTCTAGGGATGCAAATTCACCGAGACAGAAGTAATAGGAAGATTTGGCTTTCACAAAAGAATTACTTGAAGAAGATCTTGTCACGATTAAACATGCAAGATTGTAAGCCAATTTCTACCCCTCTTCCTATTAACTTCAAATTATCCTCCAGTATGAGTCCTAGCAGTGAAGAAGATAGGATGAAGATGTCTCGAGTGCCGTATGCATCAGCAGTGGGAAGTTTGATGTTCGCTATGATATGCACAAGACCAGACATTGCACAAGCAGTGGGAGTGGTTAGTCGGTACATGGCGAATCCAGGCAAAGAGCTTTGGAATACAGTAAAAAGGATCCTGAGATACATCAAAGGGACCTCAAATATTGCATTATGTTACAGAGGATCAAACTTACTATTCAATGGGTATGTAGATTCTGACTATGCAGGGGATTTGGATAAAAGCAAATCTACTACAGGATATGTGTTTAAAGTTGTTGGTGGAACTGTAAGCTGGGTTTCAAAATTGCAGTCAGTTGTGGCTACATCCACAACAGAGGCAGAATATGTAGCAGCAACACAAGCCAGTAAAGAAGCAATTTGGTTGAAGATGCTATTGGAAGAGCTTGGACACAATCAAGAGCATGTTTCTCTGTTTTGTGACAGTCAAAGCGCCTTGCATCTAGCAAGGAATCCAACATTTCATTCAAGAACAAAGCACATACGAGTTCAGTACCATTTTATTCGTGAAAAGGTGGAAGAAGGAACGATAGATATACAGAAGATCCATACCAAAGACAACATAGCAGATTTCATGACGAAGGCGATCAACGCTGATAAATTTACCTGGTGTCGATCCTCTTGTGGCATGTCAGAGACGTAAGCAACATGATGGTACAAGGTAGAAAGAATGGTGTGAAGATATTATTGTTCCAATCAAATCTTCAAGTGGGAGATTGTCAATAATTGTGGCAGCAGCCGGCTGCTAATTTAGTCTAAGTGGGCAGCCAACTTTGGTTGATTTTAGTAAGGTATAATTACAAAATTTAATCACTAAACTTTAGAGTATTTACAAGATTAAGTCCTTAAGATTTAGCTATAAATACCCTAGCTCATTTAGCTTCAAAACCATCCCAAAGCATTCTAGCTTTCTTCTAATACTAGAGAGAATTTAGAGAGTTGTTTTCTCATTTTTATCAAGAGAGAATTATCATTGTTTTCTCCTTGGTAGATCGAGAGAGGTTGTAATTCCTATTTTTCTCATAGTGAAATTCTTCTACTGTTGCCCGTGGTTTTTACCCTATATTATTTAGGGGTTTTCCACATAAATTTTGTCTCTTTTATCTTCATTTTTATTTTCTCAAATTATCAGTTACGATTTTACTCTATCCGATAGCCGTCTTCCACAATAATAATTTATCCTAAAATTTAATGAATTTTTAAGTTCCACAATAGACGAAATATTTATTGTTATGGATATGCTTTTATAGAATAATTTATAACATTAAAAACAATGGAAGAAGAACAAAAGAATTATTTTTAAGTTCAACTCTTATGTTAACCAGAGTGTTAAACAGATCGGGTGAGTATGGGGAAAAAAAGTTACTTAGATTTGCATGTATTATCTTAATCATGCATGCATGAGAGCATGGCCATGACATGGTCTAATGCATGCAAATGGGGTGTGTGCGCTCAAGAAAATAAATGTGAATTTGTTAGCTTTGTTAAGCCTACGTAAGATAGGTGTAGCTGGATTTGTAGGTGGGGGCCACATATAAATGCCTTTAAGCCACTCTCTTAAATGATTGATGTACTCCTTTTTTAATGAATAAAAATAATATAATCGAGAAAAATTGCTAAAGTCAACATGGTATCAGAGTAGACAAATCTCATGTCCGTAAGCAACCAACATAACCATACAATCTCAGATAACACATGATTAAGATAATAACATGAAACATCAAAAGCAGCGAAATAAATGGAGCCAAGTGGGGTTGTAGTAAATGAGCATTGAACACCCACGGTTGAGTGGCCAAGTCACCTCGGACTCGATAAAACTCAACGACACGAGAGAGAACTTATTATTCCCAAAAGGCTTCATATGCTGGGAAGGAAACGAGAGAGAGAGAGAGAGAGAGAGAGAGAGGAAAACACTAAAAGGAATAGGAACGGAGGAAAGGAGATAGGTTAATGGTTGGGGATAGGCCATTGGAGGTGACTGAGGGGATAGGTTCCCAATGCTTGGACACGTGAGAGGCAGAAAAGAAAGGCTTTTTCCCCTGATTCCAAATATATGAAGAGGCTTAAAACACATCAGCCGTAGAAACAAGTGAGAAATTGAACACCAACGACTATTTTCATTGCAAACAACCCCCAGTAAGATGTTCAAAAGAATCAGTGTGCTACATGGACTACCAAAATTTAGAGAATCCATTTGTTTTCTACATTATACACAAGTCTCTTCCGATCTTGGCAGATGTTTTGGCATCACAAGTATAAAACAACATAATGAGCAAGCACCTCCTGTGTTTTTCAATAATATTAACTGCACATGCATAAGCAGCTGGGGGGAACGGAGTATCTGCGATTGAAAATATTTACAGCACCGACGTGGGACTAAACTTCTTCCGGAAATCATCCCTTAATTCGACCACCTCGTTCACGTTTACGGTTGCTTCTTTTGATCTGTAGAATTTAATGAATTATGTCGCAACCATTACTAAAACGACGACAAAACCATGAAAAAGAAACCAAAAGAGAGATACGGAGCACGGAAATAGAAATTGGAAAGAACTTACCAGTCGAAGTAGGGTCTTCGTGGGCGAAGAAACTAGCAGCTACTATCAGATAGCAAAGAATGAGCATTAACCCTTTGAAGTAGTTTGACGTTCCCTCCTACAGAGAAAAAAGAAACAGAAAAGTAAATTCATTTGCTTCTCACAGCTTTCTGGCCTAAATTAGTCTTCCATGTTGCGAATTCTTTGAACTATTAGGTATGGTCCAACAAGGACATGAGTTTGAAGATTGCTTCAATTCCTGATGATAAAGATAACAATTGGACATTATTACTTTCCAAAGTTATTGATATACACCAACCTGAAGAAAGAAGGCTACAACGATAACAGTTATGAACAGAGTTGCTGTCTCGAAAAGCTGGAAGTTTAAATCCATTTCCCGTCCCATCATCCACCCGATAACCACACAAAAAGGAATCTGTATATGCAACAAGGATATGGATTAGTGCACTAAGGTAAAACAAACGACATATTAGACATAAATATGTATGTATGTACAAGACACACACATAACGTGGTTCAGTTCAACTTCAGGATCTAAACTCTAAAATTGATCATAATTCCAGAACTTGAACACTGTTTATGCACCATCATCAGTTGTCAAGTATAAAGAGTAGAGGTTGCTAAATAATTGACGAAAATGAGTAACCACTGACTAAGAGAACATATATAAAGATGAGATATATGTGCTTCAGTATTTGCCGCCACGGAAACAAGCAAAAAAAAATCAAAAAGTAAACCCCAAAAGCTCCCGACGTTAGATGACATTATATAAAACAAAATATAATGTTAATACACAATGAGGGCATCAAATTTACGGGACCTACCCCAAACATAGAAATTTGAGTCGATGACCCTATTGCCACTCCCAACGATATATCCTGAAAATAAGTTTATTAATTAGTGATACATACAAATTCTATGAAATGAAAGTTAAGAGAATCACTTACAAGCTTGTCTTTCATGGCAAACATGATAGCACTTGCGTGCTCTGCAGCATTCCCAATAATGGGGAGCAAGATAACACTGATAAATGCAATCGATAAATCCCATGCTTCAGATGCCCCCTGGTAAACAACAATCAGAAAGGAGAAAGATAAAGTGAAAGTAATCAGCCTGTAGCCCCATAGCCTAATGAATATAATTTTAGAAAGAAAGCATTAAAGAGAAAACAAAAAAGGTGCAAATCCTAAAGCCTTCTGAGTGCTAACTAATTACATCTGCTGCTAGTGAGAGCAGATATGGACCTCTTAACTATCTTACATGCTGTTTATGTCATGGATTCATGTCTGGATTGGTTTGAATAAATCCCTAGAGCAAGCTTCAATCTAGGGGACATCCATCGCATGTTCCACCCCACCCTAACAGCCACTGCCCATTTGCTCTTAAACACGAGACAGTGGACGCGTGTCATATATGGTAACAGATACAGAGTTTAACAAGTTAAATTCGTTCGAGCAACCTCCGATGCCAAATATTTGACATACTCGTATCATTAACCAATGAGAAAAAAGATTAACAACCAATTGTTACCTGTATTGTATCCACCAAATAGTCTGATAGGATAGAGATCCAAGCAGTCAAGATTGTAAGCCAAATCATCGATTCCCATTTGGAGATCTCCGGAGCTTCATCCTCGTCATTATCTGAGTTATCCCCATGGGTACTTCCTTCCTAATATCACATCATTTTTCACAACAACTAGTGTTCTTCACAAAATACTTTTGGGGCGAAGTAACTAACAAAGTACTCTTCATATTCAAACGATACCAATAACATTGATAACCAACCTCATTAATAGGGGAATAGTGATCATTTTGACTTCTTAACTGGAAAAAAAGATAGGCAGCATAGGCTACAAGCATTATACAACTGCTAAATCTTGAAAGAGACAACTCTGACTTCCCAACTCGCCGTTCAGTGTGTGTGTAGTGGAGGACAGCTGGGAATAGTAAACCCATGACTGCCATCAGCAGCAGACCCGAATTGACAACAGCTGTAGCCTGAATGAAATATCAGGTTCGTTTAGAGTGATAAGTAAGAAAAATAGAGAAAAGTAAATCAGGCAACATAATGGCGTCTCCTTACCTTGTTAAAAACTTGTTCCTTTCTGTGATATACAAGCCCACCGCAGAAGAACGCACACCCAAGTACAAGAAGCATGTTTGACAAAATTGAACCCAACAATGACAGCTGAACAACACGTATCATTCCACTTTTCAGAGCATATATCGAAATAATCAGTTCTGTTGCATTTCCAAACGTAGCGTTTAGAAGACCACCAACTGCAATTGATTTCAACATATCAAAGACCGTTACTAACACAAAATTTATAGATAAAATATTAAAAGAGAATTTAAAATAAAAAATAGAAAAGCTAGTTATTTAATCTAGACAATGACAAAAAATCCATAACAATTAAGAGTAATAAGTACCTGTAGGTCCAGTGAAAAAAGCCAACTGCCTAAATTCAATCAAAGAAAAAGCAAAATTAAGTAAAATAAAACAACCGATAGCAACAATAGAACAAACTCAATGAAAGAAAATGAATTCTTACTCAGTCGCATAACCCAAACGCTCTGCCAAAGGTGTTATACCCAGTAAGCTAAGAAAGAAGACCCAGCCCTACAATTCCCTTCGCAATTAAACAACTTATGTAAAAAAGAATAGCAAGCAAGGAAAGAGTATCAAAACAAAAACTCACATTACTGGCAGTCAGCTTGTGAACCAGGATTGCTAGAGGCCCAAAAGGCATGAGCAGGTTGAGTTTATTAGAGAAAACTACGGTCTTTATGCTCTGATAGATTCTGTTTCTCACCATTTTATTACCAACAATAGGAAAACCATCAGAAAGTGGTAATTGTTGATCTGAAAATGGTATTTGTCGATTAGAATCAGAAGCTTGTGTTTTTCGAGCATCTGTTCCAGGGGAGTGGAGGCACTCATCATCGAGATCATCCATTGACCTATCTTCTACTGATCCCATCTGCTACAGTAATCATTAAAACAAAATGCAGGGTAGAAATACTCAAAATAACTAGCTTAAAATGCATATTCCCCAACCAAGAAAAAGGGTAAAAAAAAAGAGGAAACCAAAACACTAAAAATGAAGAATAGCATACTTCAACATGGGATTGAACTCCAACTTGCTGCTTGTAATCCATCTTCAAGTATCAAAAGAGCAATGAGTTCTCCATAACCATTAACATAAAAAATCATACAGTATCATGTGCTTGGTTTTTAATTCCTCAATGTCTAAATAACCACAGCACAATTGAAATTTGTTAAAAAAAGCATAATACTAGCAGTTAAGCTAATTAAGATCTCATCTTGATTCTCCTACAATACTTGTTCATCAATTCATACTATAACAAAATCAAACTCAAGATTTTGATTTCCAAGACTTCTATGCATCACATAGAAGCCAACAAATAGAAGCCAACAACATCAAATCCATGAAAACACTAACAGATTCAAATTCCAAACAATTAATAGCAAACAACAGATTCAAATATTAACATCAGTGGATGCTTAACAAACTAAACTTGCCAAAACATCAACGGATCTGAGAAATAACTAACCTTTACCGCAAATCTTCAGAAATCTCCAAACGGGTATGAATCGGGAAAAAAACCCTAATAAAAGAAACAAAAACACTATTCCTTACCCAAAAAGAAAAAAAAGACTTTTTTTTTCTTTTGGTAGAGAGAGAACCCTCAATGACAGAGCGTACGAATGTGACTAGATTCTAATTAGGTCCGTCTTTACGGGGTTATATGTAGTGTAGCTAAATTCTGATTCCGTTTTCTTCGTGTAATTTTTCCTAGTAATTCGAAAGTGCCTGCCTTTGTTTGTCTTTTTAATGTTTTCCTGCCTTAAACGGACCGTGAAAGAACCAAAGAAATAACCTTGAAAGTTGCTTCTTTTTTTTTCTTCTTCTTGAACTAAATAAACTGAACTAATGTTACCCTAGCTTGAGACAAGAAAATATGTGAATCCATGTGCTCTTCCAGATCGGGCCCTTTTTTTATTTTTTAATTTTAAAAAACAGGTAATATGTTGTTTTCATTTGTTTAATTAATTTGTCAGATTTCATCTCATTTTCTAATACAAATTTAAAGTTTTTGTTGGATTCGATTATTAGTCTGATTAGATTCAATTTTTATTTGATTATATATTTATTTTATTGATTATTTTCTATTTATAATTTATGAATGTATAAATTATTCAATCAAGATAGATCACGTAAGGAGGATGGAGGCCGCAGAAATGAGAATGTTTCGATGGGCATGTGGTAGGACTCTGTGGGCCATGAAACCAAACTCTGCAAATGGTGTCTGTATCCGAAAAATTGAGGAAGAGAAAACTACGGTGGTTTGGGCATGTCCTTAGGCGACAACCGCGCGGATATGGTCAGGAGGGTAAAGTCGATTATAGTCGACGGTGCCAGAAGGAGATGACGACCAAGGAAGAAGTGGGTAGTGCAATAGTGTTGCCTTAGTTTAGGTTTTAACCTATATTACTTCTCGTAGCTTGTTATCACTGACTTCTGTGTATCATTCTCTTCATGTTTCCTCCTTTTAAATTTAGTCGGGTCTTACGTTTCTGTTTATATGCAGAGATTTTTACGCAGGAATTTATTTGCAGGGATTACTTCCATTCAGACGCGCATATGAAGACTGTTCAACTATATATTTATTTATTTATACATGTATTGTGTTTTATCTTTATTTTTAATTTTCTGACTGCCGGAGGTCTTCCACGGAAACTGCTCTCAACCTGGCGTTGGGGGCAGCCTACTACCCTACCTCCCTCTTACTCGAATAGAGTTTTGTTGTTGTTGTATCTGTTATTCATATTATATAAAATTCAGTTTATACAATTTTATTTATTTAAATTTTAAATCTCAATTCTTAAATCTTAAGACTTAAAGTATTAATTTAAATTAGAATCTTTAAATTCTAAAATAAATGGATTTGCGTAAAATTACATAATTGAATACAACTAAAATTATGACTGTATCGATAAAATTCTTCACATAATGCTTTGAGGAAAAAAAAATTCTTCACATATTGCATTTGATCAATTATTTACTGAAATAGCGTGATTTTTACAGTAAAAGGATTGGTCGTCAGGTGCTCCGGACGACCTGTACAAGTCGTCATATCGTCCGAGCGTCATGCTTATTTGCTAAAATAAGTTCGAGCGTTGGAATGCATCAATTATTGCTTCCATTATGGTTTAGCTACCGCTGCCATTCTAATTTACCATGCAATAAGGGAGCAGAGGCTGGGGAATCACAGGCCAACCTTGGATTGCTTAGCGCCCTATCTCCAAAGGCGTTGAAATGCAACAATTATCACGGGCCAACTTTGGATTGCTTGACGACCTTTCTTGAACGCGTATGGATGACATGGCGACATGCACAAGTCACCCGAAACATCTGGCGACCAACCCTGTTATGATAGAAAACAACAAATAATTGATCGAAGATTTTTTTTTCAAAGCATTATGTGGGCAAAATGGCCGACTGTATCATATAACTTTTATAATTCTTGAATAATTTAAAATAATATTTATACTATCCATTGGCAATACCCTTTTCAGGGAAAGACCGACAATATCAATTAAATTATAATTATAATTTACATTTACAATTATATTTATTTTTCAAATAACAATATTTCAAAATATACATATATTAGATTTCAAATGAGATTCTTATTTTTTTTTACTATTTTGGTCATTAATGAGTTACTATATAAAAAAACTAGAGGAAGAAAAAAATGTCCATGTTCAATGTCCAGTGTTATTGGGCAGGTCATGTGCCAGACAATAAATATAAAAGGCCATTCATTCAGCCCCGCTATATGTAAAAGGAAATTACAAGGTTTGTTTAATTACAACGTTTTACCAACTTATTTCCATTTTCAAACAAAGAATCTCAAATCAAACACGTCAGAATTCAGTCCAGGATCGTTGTTTTCATTGATTGATCGGTGTTTCAGATGGTTGAAATCTCTTGCCAGTCTCGCTGCAAATACTTCACAGGGACCAATTCACTCCCCCTGGAACCTAATCCTAAACTACCTCTTATTTCTCTATACATCCATGCTAGAGTCGAGACACCGGCCAAAGCCGCGGTTGCGGCGATGACAAAACCGACCAAGGCAACCAAGAAAAACAACCCAACAAAGAGTAGCAGAGGGCTGAAAAGTATCAGCAGAGGCAAGCTTATAAACAGCAGTGCCGATGCTGCCAAGAAGCTGAGCCCCATCATTCCCAGCAGCGGTGCAGCCAGTGCTGCCAAGATCATTGATCCGCCAGTTTGCTGTTGTTGAGCCCTTTCTCCCATTTGATCTACACTTTTGTGTTCTATTTTTCCACCTTGGGAAACCGCCGATTCTTTGATATTATAACCCAAGAGGTTAAAAAGGCGTGCTGTTTAGGTGTTTCTTGGAACCCATGTGTGGGGCTTTGGCTCTTACACGTGGCACCTATTAGCTCATTCGAACGACACGTGGCGTGAGTCATGAGACACAAGAGACAACAATTCACACGATTTTCAAATTGACTTTTTTCATTACAGATCGGTTGCATTGTTGACAGTGACAATCAAAATGAACTCTGGGTCTGAAAATGAAAGACAGGTACAGAACAACACACGGTGTGAGTGAGCAGTAAGGGTCAAGGCCCCTGCCTGATGTGCAGTGCCCAATGAAACGGGCACATACGATACAAGTGTTGAGACACCTAATGTCACATACAATAATGCCATTAGAGTTCATTATATATGATGTATAAACTATTAAATGAAGAACGGAATCTAAATGGAGAGTCACCTGAAGAGCAGACATGCCGAAAGAGGCTTCCACCAACGATCGAATAGTCGGATGGACGTCGAGCTTTTTTGTTCACCACCATAAACCACAAATGGAGATCAAAGTGTAAGTATAGTATGCTCGGCCATAGAAAAGATTTAAGAAAGTTATTGTGAAAGAAGAGATGCAAGAAATGAAGGGGAAAAAGGGTTACACACAGCATCATTTCCAGCAACAAATGCTCCAGAAACAGCAGTAATGCCTACAATGAGGCTCACTGGAATTGCAAGTCTCTTGACTTTGGCATCCCCTTGAACCCAAGCTAGTGATTCCGCAAGAGGTTCGGGCATTACAACAGAAAGAGCAGTCCAGGACAGACCACTGTAAATAACTGATGCTGAAGTAAGATGAGTAGCAAGTCGATAAGGGCTCACTCGGGGATCGACATACTCCGAAGCTGGTTCCTGTAGGAAGAAATCATCACTGCAGTGAACAATATGTTGCGGAAGACGGCTATCGAATAGAGCAAAATCGCAACTGATAATTTGAGAAAATAAAAATAAAGATAAAGAAGACACAAAATTTACGTGGAAAACCTCTAAATATTATAGGGTAAAAACCATGGACAACGATAGAAGAATTTCACTATAAGAAAATAGGAATTACAACTTCTCTCGATCTACCAAGGAGAAAACAATGATAATTCTCTCTTGATAAAAAGGAGAAAACAACTCTCAAGAAACTCTCTAAATTCTCTAGTATTGGAAGAAAGCTAGAATGTTTTGGGATGATTTTGAAGTTAAATGAGCTAGGGTATTTATAGTTGAAGTTTTAATGACTAATTTGTAAATACCCTAAGTTCAATGACTAAATTGTGATTATTCCATTTAACTTTTTTAACAATTTGGTGGCCAATATTTGACCAATTTAGCCGCCCATTAATGATGCCAAATTGCCACCCCATTATGTTGATTAATGCTGCCAACTTTTAACAATCGCCCAAGATTTGATTGGAACAATCATATCTTCACACCATTCTTTCTACCTTGTACCATCATGTTGCTTACGTTTTTGTCAGGCCACAAGAGGATCGACACCAACTAAATTTATCAGCGTTGATTGCCTTAGTCATGAAATCTGCTATATTTGTCTTTGGTATGGATCTTCTGCATATCTACCTTCCCTTCTTCCACCTTTTCACGAATGAAATGGTATTGAACTCGTATGTGCTTTGTCTTTGAATGAAATGATGGATTCCTTGCTAGAAGCAAGGCACTTTGACTGTCACAAAACAGAGAGACATACTCTTGATTGTGCCCAAGCTCCTCCAATAGCATCTTCAACCAAATTGCTTCTTTACTGGCTTGTGTAGCTGCTACATATTCTGCCTCTGTTGTGGATGTAGCCACAACTGACTGCAATTTTGAAACCCAGCTTACAGCTCCACTAGAAACTTTGAACACATATCTTGTAGTAGATTTGCTTTTTATCCAAATCCCCTGCATAGTCAGAATCTACATACCCATTGATTAGTAAGTTTGATCCTCCGTAACATAATGCAACATTTGAGGTCCCTTTGATGTATCTCAGGATCCTCTTTACTGTATTCCAATGCTCTTTGCCTGGATTCGCCATGTACCGACTAACCACTCTCACTGCTTGTGCAATGTCTGGTCTTGTGCATATCATAGCGAACATTAAACTTCCCACTGCTGATGCATACGGTACTCGAGACATCTCCATCCTCTCTTCTTCACTGCTAGGACTCATACTGGAGGATAATTTGAAGTTAATAGGAAGAGGGGTAGAAATTGGCTTACAATCTTGCATGCTGAATCGTGACAAGATCTTCTTCCAGTAATTCTTTTGTGAAAGCCAAATCTTCCTATTACTTCTATCTCGGTGAATTTGCATCCCTAGAATCTTGTTTGTTGATCCCAAGTTCTTCATTTCAAATTCCCTAGCCATTTGTGCCTTCAATTCTTCAATATGATCTTTGTTGGGTCCTGCAACCAACATGTCATCCACATACAATAGCAATATAACAAAATTGTTATCACCAGACCTCTTGAAAATAAGCACAAGGGTCTGCATTAAGTCTGTTGTATCCAAGGCACATAATGAAGGAATCAAATCTCTTATACCAACACCTCGGCGCCTGCTTTAGACCGTACAAAGATTTGTTCAACCTGCAAACCAAGTTCTTCTTTTCTTTTTCTTCAAAAACTTCAGGTTGGAGCATATAAATCTCTTCTTCAAGATTTCCATGAAGAAAAGTTGTTTTAACATCTAGTTGCTCTAGATGTAAGTTCAATGTGGCACACATTGCCAAAACTACTCGAACTGTTGTTAGTCGAACCACAAGAGAAAATATTTCATTAAAATCAATACCTTCTTTTTGAGCATATTCTTTGACCACCAGTCTTGCACGATACCTCTCCACTTGATCGTCGCCATTTCGCTTGATTTTGAAAACCCATTTGTTACCAATTGGCTTCCTTCCTTGTGGTAGTGGCACAAGGTCCCATGTATTATTTTTATGAAGGGCTTCAATTTCTTCTTGCATCGCCATCATCCACAGTGAAGCATCTGAGCTGTTTATTGCCTCCTATAACATAATCTGAATACCAATTAGGACGTCTTCTCACACGATCTGATTAACGAGTTCTTGGAGCTTCAGAACTCTCTGGTTTTTGTTCATCATGTGCTGGTTCTGCTTCAGAAGAATCTCCTTGTTCAAACTCCTTTTCCACATGTATCTGTGTAGTCTCTGACTTTTCAGCGCTATTATCGTCTTTTTTTCTTTGTAGCTTATCTTCTACAAAGATAACATCCCTGCTGATGATCACTTTGCGGGCAGTGGGATCCCACAAGCGATACCCCTTTACTCCATCAGCATACCCCAAGAATTTGCATTTCCTGGATTTTGGATCCAACTTTGAAATTTCTTGGGAGTTGTACATCACGTACACAATACTTCCAAATACATGGAGGTTTGAATAATCAGCTGGTTTACCAGTCCACATCTTCATTGGTGTCTTCAGCTCTATTGTAGTTGATGGAGCTCGATTCACCAAATAGCAGGCGGTATTGACTGCTTCTGCCCAGAATGATTTTTTTAGGCATGCATCCCTTAACATTGCTCTTGTTCTTTCTAACAAGGTTCTGTTCATCCGCTCTGCCACTCCATTTTGTTGAGGAGTGTTCACCACTGTGAACTGTCTTTTGATGCCTTCTTTCCTGCAAAAGTTATCAAATTCTTCGCTTGTGTATTCTCCTCCATTATCTGTTCTGAAACACTTGATCTTATTTCCAAAATCAAGTTCCACCCGCGCCTTGAAGTTTTTGAAAGTTGAAAACACATCTGACTTCTTCTTAATAGGGTACACCCATCATCTCCTGGAGTAGTCATCAATAAATGAGACAAAGTATTTTGCTCCGCCTAGGGATGTATGGTGTTTTCCATACGTCAGAGTGAACCAATTCTAGAACACTTTTGCCTCTAGAATTTGATGTGTTGAATTTCAACCGGTGCGGCTTACTTGTTATGCAATGCTCACACAAAGTAAGTGATACCTTCGTTAAGCCTGCAAGTAGCTTTTGCTCCACAAGGACTTTCATTCCTTATTCTGACATGTGTCCAAGTTTCTGATGCCATAACATTGCAGAATCTGAACTACATGAGGCAACAGAGGCTTCTGCTTCTAGCAAAGTCTCTCCCTTCAGCACGTACAAGTTTGCTACTATCTTTTCACCTTTCAGCACCACAAGCGCTCCACGGAACACCTTCATGATTCATTTTCGTGTTTCAATCTTGCTTGCATTATTATCCAACAATCCGTAGGATAATAAATTTTTCTTCAGGCCTTTCACGTGCCGCACATCTTGAACAACTTTAATTGTTCCATCATACATCTTCAATTTGATGGTTCCAACGCCAACGATCTCTAAGGCATGATCATTGCAACTATACACAGATCCTCCTGAGACAGGTTCATAATGATAGAACCATTCTCTTCTTGAGGTCATGTGATATGTTTCTCCTGAATCAATGAGCCATATATCTACAAATCTTTTTCTACCTTCCACGGTGGTTGACGCTTCATAGCATAGAGCATCTCCATCATCTGAAGTATTTGCGGTATTACCTTATGGTTTGGAGTTTTTATTTAGACTCCAACAATCCTTCTTCAAGTGACCCTTCTTTCCACAGTTGTAGCACTTTAAATTCTTCTTGCTTCTCGACTTCGATTTACCATGTTTGTGACTACTGCTTTGGTCACGTTCTGTTGATCTCCCTCTCATTGTTGTCATCGTTGTTAACGCTTCTGCTTGTTGCAGATTTACTTGTCTGTCTTCTTTGTTCTTACGCCGATTTTCTTCTTGTAGAACAGCAACTACAACGTCATCGAAGACTAGACTGGTGACATTATTATTTGTCAAGTTGATGATGAGTTGATCATACCAATCCGGTAGACTTTGAAGTAGAAGTTCAGCACGTTCTTGTTCTCCTATTTTACAGCTTAAAGATGTA